CCGACTCACGACTAGGCACCTGCGAGGGCCGACTGCTTGGCGATTGCAGTCTCCAGAATCACCTCCACAGCCCGCTTCACCCCTCCGGCCGCCTGCATGCGCCGGCCGAGGCCTTCCGCCGCCTGGCGGAACGGGTTGCCTGGGTCGGCGTCCACCAGCTGCCGCACGGCGGCGCGCAGGGGTGGTCCGCTGAGGGTCTGCAAGGGCGAGGCAAAGGAGATGCCGGCGCCGGACTCGGCCAAGGACCGGCTGTTGGACACCTGGTCTCCGAAGAGCGGCACGCCGACCACGGGGATGCCAAAGCCAAGGGCCTCGTGCATGCTGTTGGCACCACAGTGTGAGAGGAAGGCGTGGCACTTGGGCAGAAGCTCAATCTGCGGGACGGTCTTGCGAACGATGAAGTTGGAAGGCGGCGTGGGCAGGCCATCCAGCACATCCGGCTGACAACCCACGACCAGAACCACCAGGAGGTCCTCCTCCTCTTCCAGGGCTTCGAAGACGGTTCGGAAGACGAATTGCACGATCTCCTTGCCGGTGCAATTGTCCAGGCCGTTGTGGGCCGCCTGCTCACCCATCTTCTTGTCCCAGAAGTGGGAGTTGGCAACCGTGCCCAGAGAGACCAGCACAAGGCGCTTGGATTCGGCCAGGGCCCCTTCAATGACATCCCAGGGAAGGCCGCTGGACTGCTTCGAGTCCGCATCGGCGTTTGGATGGGAGACTCGCTTCACCTGTCTGACCGAGACATACCGAGCACAAGAGATGCAGAAGAGGTGCACAATGGGTGCCCCGGCCCCCAACGTCAAAGGCAAGTCTGACACCCCCCCCCCCACCTTGGCATCAACCAGGGGGCCCACGCAGGTGAAGGGAAAGTGCCCAAATCGCGCATGCTGCACGCCCGGCGCTGGCGGCACGAAGAGCTCGTCGATGGTGGTGACGATGCTGCCCTGCGGGGAGTAAAACCTGGCGCATGTGCGACTGATGCGACTGTTGCTGCACCATGCGCGTTGCCACTCTTTCATCTGCATGTGCCTTTGCTGTCGTCGTGGCTGCTGCTGCAACCGTTCCATATGTTGCTATCACACCTGCTGTATCTGTTCCTGTCCCTGGTGTATCATTGGCATCACATGCACTGGTTGCTCATGCTGTTCCTCCTGGCATTCCACCTGGCGTGGCCTCAGATCAACAACAATCTGTCCTTGTCGTTACTACATTGGGGAAACGTGGCTTGTTCGCAATCATTGGTGCGCATGTTGGAATGCTGTCTCAGATGAATTGTTTAACGGGCGACACATCATGAAATATCCAGTTGAGTCTAAATCAAAATGTTTACTTCCCATTGCAAAAAAAACGTTAGTCGATGAACATGTTCACCAAGAAATGTTTTCAAAACGGGAAATGCAACGATTGCAATGAGGACTATTCCTGTTGCGGTACTTGAGTGTACGATCGTGCGATCCAGCATCAGTGCGTGCAGCAGGGGTGAAGCACCATTTGCTGACCAGGGCCATGTGCTTTCATGTCATGGCCTTGAGTCATGCGCTGCATGATGCTGTGTGTGTTACTGCCCCGGACGAGACTCTAAACTTCCTCAGGCCAAAGGAGCTCCATCAACCCGCCGTATGCAAAAACGTCCACGTCGTAGGCGTCCTGGATCTCCTTGCGCGCCCGGCGAACCACCTGGCGGGATGCCTAAGGTCGGTCACGGTGCACCGGAAGCTCCACTATGCCCGAACCCTACGAACCCCATCAACCCTACAAACCCTGGACAACCCCATGAAAGCTGAAACTCCCCCCATGAACACCCTAAACCTGGCCCCTGAAAAAAGAAGAAGCGCCTCGTTGGACTCCCACTGCTCCGTGACCGCCGCCGGCCGCGCTGTGACACCCGGCCCCGGCATCGTCAGCCTCATTTTGTCCAAGAGTTGTTCTTCGAAGGGGGGGCTTGCAGGTAACTTATAGGGTTCGTGGGGTTTGAATAGGGTTTGTCGCGTTTACAGGGGTCTACGGGGTTTACAAGGTTTATGGGGTTTATGGGGGTTTACAGGATCTAGATCGAGCGTGGGGTGCCTTCAGCTTTCCAGGGCTTGGGGTTCACAACCTTCTCGGGCTTGCAGGGTCCTGACCGCGGTCTTCACTGGTGCGGCTGGGAAGGGCTTGCATGTATTGGCTCTCTGCTGAGCACTGGACCTGTTTGTGGCAGGCTACCGGTGGCATCGTGGCTTGGCCTCATGAAACCCCAACAAGACCAAGAACCTCCCAAATCTCTCCTGAGATGTCTGAAGCAAGGGGGCGTGCTCACCGCAGGGATGCCCAAGATGCGAGCTGCCACCTGGCACCAAGGAGGGGCGCACAAGGCGGGTAGCATGCGGCCGGATCGCAAAGTTCTCTTGCTTCTGAGTGTGTCTCGTGCCGCATCAATCCCCCAACTCTGAGGGTTTCGGGCCGGCTTGGTGCCTCAACACTTTTTGCTCCCGATTTGGGGCTATGGGTGATGGTCTTCTTCTTTAGGAATGGTTGTTGAAGGGGAGAAGGTAGTGCTTAGAATCTAGGATCCATCGAAAAGAGTCCCTGACGGGCTTGAAGTGATCTCCAACTCATGTTCACAACACCCCCCGCCAGCGGATGCGGCAGGAAGGGGTCGTGCACGATGACGGTGGGAGGCGGGCTGAGGCTTGTCCTAGGCTGATGGCAACGCTTGCACCTATTTAACTTTACTTATATAACGTATCCCACGTCACCAAAGGGACGACACACCGACCCTCCCCCGAGCATGACTGCAATGCTGCACATGCGGCTTGTTCTACAGCTCCTTCAAAGGCATGGGCCATTGGAAAAAGGGTCCCTGAACGGTAAAGGGACAACCTATGTCACACATTACAAAAATGCCTGTGTTGTTAAGAAGTCCTGGCCCTCAATATCCCACTCCTTAAGAGGGATTATGGTACTCTCGATGAAATTTCCCTATTAAGGACTGCTAGGATAAGGGGGAACATCCCAATCCCTCACCAGGGCTTCAGCAAAGGCCAAGCGTCAACTCTGACAGGAGCCCTGGCAGCTGATCAGCGGCCGCTGCCACAACACTCATGGGAAACCTAAGAGAAGCTGAGGTTGGCAAGGGGTGCTGAGGGGGGGAGGGGGGGGGGCGCTAAGTTTCCGGCTGCTCTCCGGGGAACTTGGCCCCCAAGGCTCTGTCTGTGTACTTGCTTCTTGCTGACTTCTCTCTTCTTATTCATAATCTAGACAGCTCTCTCTTTCTCTCTCCGACCTGAAAGATTCGAGATGCTCTCAGCCTTTTCAACGTTATGGGCTGACACGGTCGGCTTAATTTGCTGCTTTCGCCTCGCAGTCGGCAGCGACTGAGTGGAAGTACTATGCTCCACGCGTACACCCCATGTGTCCTTGGCAAGGAGCCCGTACTCTTCCGGCGGCATGCCGTCCGGCACATACTTCGCCTTCTGCCCTTCGGTGAGGGTGAGGCAATCCTTCTGGAGTAGCAGGCAGGGTTTAGGGTTGCGGGTTGAAGTTTCACGTTTTGGGGGTAGCGGTTTTAGCCCAAACCTTCAAAGTTCCAATGCGAGTGGCTACCGCAGTAACAACTTCAACCCTGACCCTCCGGACGAGAAGAAAACACCGCTGTCCCAACAAACCCCGAAGCCCGAGAACTTCGAGAAACTTCGAGAAACTTCGAGAAACTTCGAGAAACTTCGAGAAACTTCGAGAAACTTCCGGCGTTTGCCCGGGGCCTCCAGGAGCTTCCACTGGGCCCCCGCGGCCTCCACCACCTCTCGGGTGCAGGCCCCGGGGTTCTAATCCCAATGCCAAGCCTATAAGCATCCCAGAGAAACCCAAAGCATCCCAAACTCAACACTCTAGCGGCCCTAGTGTGTTCGCGGGCTTGGGGCTTCGCATGATGGGTTCACAGGCTTCCAGGCCTCTCGCATCTTCGCGTCGACGAAGTAGGTCACGGCCACGCCCCTCGCACCTCTGAAACGAAGAAAACGGTCTTGGAGGTGAGATACAGCATAGCGTTACTGAGCTGCGCTTGCCAAAGCCTATGCCAGAGAACATGGGTCTAGACCTATGTGCTGCCAACATATCCATCAGGTTCTGGGGCTGCAGGCTCTTTAGATTTCAGCCGCCCCAGAAGCTCAAGGCCTTTCACTGCGACCCACGAACGCATTCGAGCGGCTCAATTCAGCCACCACCGGCAGGGTGGGGTTCATGTGCCCCGCAGCGCCCACGTTCACGAAGACCACATGCTGCTGCCCCATGCTGGGCAAGGAGCGAGGATCAAAGGAAGACAGTTCTGGGAAGCTGAAGCGGCTTCGGGCAATCGGAGGCGAGACCATCAGAGCTTCGACAAGGCAAGGCGGGCGACTGAGAACCAGGTCTGGCCCGTGAACGAGTTACCTTCTTGCACAAGCAGCAACAGAAAGCATGCCACTCTACGTGACGAAAACAGTGCAATTCAGGCTCCTCTAATTTCAGGCTCCTCACTCAATAAGCATACACTGTAGCGGTTCCGACTTGCAGGCACATCATATCCGTTGTTGAAGATCCAGGAGAGGTTTGGCACCCTTTGCTTTGCGCCTGTTCGCATATATAAAGACACTTCCAGCAGACTCCAGCACGGAGATTTGGCACTTTCTACTTGAAGCTGGCGGCTACTAGGTTACTAGGACTTTGCTGATTGGCAAGTGTGCTGATTGGGGCCGACCCTGCGAAAGACTCTTGCACGTTGACCCATGCGGCGTCTGCTTTCGCGCTGAGCATCTGCAGCTTTCTAAATCCGGAATCCCTGAGCGACCTGTACAAGCAGTGCGGGATGTGTGGGCAGCTGCCGTCAAAGATCTCTACATGTGACATGCGGTGGGCTGACGCGATGAGCTTATTGCACAAGCACTGTACATTGCACTCTGACACTCTGACACTCTGCGCTGTTGACAGAGCAAAAAGGAAGAGCCTGCAGTCTATATCCTATATGTGCGACTGACTCACGACTAGGCACCTGCGAGGGCAGACTGCTTGGCGATTCCAGTCTCCAGAATCACCTCCACAGCCCGCTTCACCCCTCCGGCCGCCTGCATGCGCCGGCCGAGGCCTTCCGCCGCCTGGCGGAACGGGTTGCCTGGGCCGGCGTCCACCAGCTGCCGCATGGCGGCGCGCAGGGGTGGTCCGCTGAGGGTCTGCAAGGGCGAGGCAAAGGAGATGCCGGCGCCGGACTCGGCCAAGGACCGGCTGTTGGACACTTGGTCACCGAAGAGCGGCACGCCGACCACGGGGATGCCAAAGCCAAGGGCCTCGTGCATGCTGTTGGCACCGCAGTGCGAGAGGAAGGCGTGGCACTTGGGCAGAAGCTCAATCTGCGGGACGGTCTTGCGAACGATGAAGTTAGAAGGCGGAGTGGGCAGGCCATCTAGCACATCAGGCTGACATCCCACGACCAGAACCACCAGAAGGTCCTCCTCCTCTTCCAGGGCTTCGAAGACGGTTCGGAAGACGAATTGCACGATCTCCTTGCCGGTGCAATTGTCCAGGCCGTTGTGGGCCGCCTGCTCACCAATCTTCTTGTCCCAGTAGTGGGAGTTGGCAACCGTGCCCAGAGAGACCAGCACAAGGCGCTTGGATTCGGCCAGGGCCCCTTCAATGACATCCCAGGGAAGGCCGCTGGACTGCTTCGAGTCCGCATCGGCGTTTGGATGGGAGACTCGCTTCACCTGTCTGAGCGAGACATACCGAGCACAAGAGATGCAGAAGAGGTGCACAATGGGTGCCCCGGCCCCCAACGTCAAAGGCAAGTCTGACACCCCCCCCCCCCACCTTGGCATCAACCAGAGGGCCCACGCAGGTGAAGGGAAAGTGCCCGAATCGCGCACGCTGCACGCCCGGCGCTGGCGGCACGAAGAGCTCGTCGATGGTGGTGACGATGCTGCCCTGCGGGGAGTAAAACCTGGCGCATGTGCGACTGTTGCTGTACCATGCGCATTGCCACTCTTTCATCTGCATGTGCCTTTGCTGTCGTCTTGCTGCTGTTGCAACCGTTCCATATGTTGTTATCACACCTGCTGTTTGCTCATGCTGCTCCTCCTGGCATTCCACCTGGCGTGGTCTCAGATCACTACATTGGGGAAACGTGGCTTGTTCGCAATCATTGGTGCACATGTTGGAATGCTGTCTCATATAAATTGTACTAGTACAACGGGCATGTAAAAGAATTACGACACACGATTAAATACCCATTTGAGTCTCAATCTAGATGTTTACTCTCCATTGATTGAAATGTTAGTCGATGAAGATACCCACCAAAAAAAGAATACTTTAAAACGTGAAATGAAAAGATTGCAAGTAAGGATGATTCCTGTTGCGGTACTACAGTGTGCGACCGTGTGATCCAGCTGAAGCATAACCTGCATTTGTACAAACTATCGCAGGAGGGGTAAAGCACCAATTGGTGGAGTCATGCTCTGCATGATGCTGGGTGTTTGCGACAGAGACGAGGCCCTAACTAGCCCTCCTCAAGGTTTAGAGTTTAGGGTTTAGTGTTTAGGGTTTAGGGTTTAGGGTTTAGGGTTTAGGCTGCATGATGAGGCCAAAGGAGCTCCATCAACCCGCCGTATGCAAAAACGTCCTCGCCGTACACGTCCTGGATCTCCTTGCGCGCCCTGCGAACCACCTGATGGGACGCCTAAGGTCGTGAACCCCGCTTTAGACCTTACAAACCCCGCAAATGCTGCAGACCCTGAAACCCCCAAAAAACATGAACACACCAGAAACTCTAGAAACCCTCATGGGGCCCTTAAGGAGCAGAGCCTCGTTGGACTCCCACTTTTCCGCCGGTCGCACTGCGACACCCGGCCCTGGCATCGTCAGCCTCATGTCTTTCCCGGAGTTTTTGTATAATAGGGCCTGTAGGATGTGCAGGGCTTAGGGGGGGTTGAGGGTGTATAATAGGGCTAGTAGGATGTGTAGGATTTGGAGGGGGTTTATTGCCTTCACTGGTGCGGCTGAAGGGTTTGCATGTAGACTCTCTGCTGAGCACCGGGTGATGTTCTTCTGGCAGCCTACGTGTGGGATCGTGGCATGCTACGCGAAACCTTAAGAAACCACAGAACTTGGTGTGAGTGAACCACACAATGTCTTCGCAAATGTCGCACTTCCAACCTTGCCTTCCGAGGTCAAAAAAACGTTGATGCACGGTATGGCGAAGCCAAGGGCTCAAAAGACCCACAGCAAGAACCCGAGGTTCCACCAATATTTTTCTTATTATGATTATTATTATTATTACTACTATAATTACTAGTCTCTCCTGAGATGTCTGAAGCAAGGGGGCGTGCTCACCGCAGGGATGCCCAAGATGCGAGCTGCAACCTGGAAAGCAAAAGCAGGGCGCACTGCGAGTAGGATGCGGAAGGACCGTAAAGTCATCTTGCTTTTGGGTGTGTCTCGTGCCGCATTAATCCTCCAACTCTGATGCTGGGTCGAGGGTTTCGGGCCGGCCTCATCACTTTTTGTTCCCGATTTGGGGCTATGGGTGATGGTCTTCTTCTTGGGGAATGGTTGTGGAAGGGGGAAAATAGTGCTTAGCATCTAAGATCCATCGAAAAGAGTCCCTGAAGGGGTGATCTCCAACTCATGTTCACAACACCCCCCCGCCAGCGGATGCGGCAGGAAGGGGTCGTGCACGATGACGGTGGGGTGCGGGCTGAGGCTTCTCCTGGGCTGATGGCAACGCTTGCACCTATTGAACGTATCCCACGTCACGAGGGACGACACACCGACCCTCCCCCGAGCATGACTGCAATGCTGCACATGGGGCTGCCTTGCTCAACATCCCTCACCACCAGGGCTTCAGCAAAGGCCAAGCGTCAACTGTGACAGGAGCCCTGGCAACTGACCAGCGGCCACCGCCAGAACACTCATGGGAAACCTGAGAGAAGCTGAGGGTTGGCAAGGGGTGCTGAGGGTGCTTAGTTTCTGCTTCCTTCCTTTCCTGCGAGCTCGGCCCCCAAGGCTCCGAGGAGCACTCAGGTACAGAAGTCTGCTTCAGTGTCCCTCTCTCTTTTGCATTGCTTCCTTTTCCTCTTTTCTCTTTGGTTTTGGCTCTCTCCGTCTCTCTCTCTCTCTCTCTCTGCCTCTCCCTCCGTCTCTCTCTTTGTTTCTCTCTTTCTCTCTTCCTCACTTCCTCGCTTCCTCGCTCCCCTCGCTTCCTCTCTTCCTTGCTTCCTCTCTTCCTTCTCTCTCTCTCTCTCTCTCTCTCTCTCTCCATATCTCTCTTCGATCTGAAAGGTCGAAGATGCTGTCAGGCCTTTAGAACACAACCGGGCTACGTTCACTTCTGTTTGGGGCTCCTTCGCTGCTTTCGTCTACCAGGCGAGAGAGCACTCCGCACGTACACCCCACGCATCCTTGGCGAGGAGCCCGTACTCCTCCGGCGGCGTGCCGTCCGGCACGTACTTCGCCTTCTGCTCATCGGTGAGGGTGCGGCAATCCTCCCGGCGTAGCAGTAGGGTTTAGGGCCGCAAACCTTCAATTTTGCAGTGCGAGTGACTACCGCAGCAACAACACCCGAAGAACTTCTGGTGTGTGTGTCCCGGGCCTCCAGGAGCTTCCACTGGGCCCCGGCGGCCTCCACCACCTCTCGGGTCTGGGTTCATCCCAGCCCCAGCCTTCAGGCTACACATCCCAGACGTCCGAACGCAACCCAAAATCATCCCACACTCTCTGACGGCAGTCTCATGGGCGTATGGGCCCCTAATTTGTGTAGGGTATGTAAGGGGGTTTAGGGGTCCCCTTTTAAGGGCCCCTACTAAGGGGCCATGCATCTACCATCAGAAAGCCCTGGTGGCCCTATTGCTTGGCGGGCTTTGGGCTTCGCGTGATGGATTCCAGGGTTTCCGGGCCTCTCGCATCTTCGCTTCGACGAAGTAGGTCACGGCCACGCCCCTCGCGCCTCTGAAAAGAAGAATACAGCATAGTGTCACAGCCTATGCCAAAGAACATGGGTCTAGATCTACCTTTCACTGCGACCCACCAACGCATTCGAGCGGCACAGTTCAGACACCACCGGCAGGGTGGGGTTCATGTGCCCGGCTGCGGCCAAGTTCACGAAGACCACATGCTGCTGCGCCATGTTGGGAGCTAGGAGCGAGGTGAAAGGAAGAATGTTCTGGAAGCTGAAGCGGCTTCGCAGTGATATGCGAGACGTGATGGGGGTGCAGCCCATGGTGTTGGAATGTCTCAACGGTCCCTATGCCACAACCTTCCAGAGTCCAGCAAATACGTCCTTAACATCCAGCCCCTCCTAGTGTACTTCGATACTTGGTCGAATTGAAACAAGAACTCCCTGCCCCTAAAACCCCAAACCCTCCAAAAACCCTCAACAACCCTGTGCCTTACAAAACAAAACCCTCAACCCTGCAACTGTTAACAACCCCTAACCTCCGGGCACGGATCTTGGGCAAGGTGGTCCTCATCAGCCGTACGCCAGGAAAAGGGCTTAGGGCTCATAAGGTTTTGCACGCATTCTGTCTCCCTGCCGTAAGTTCAGGAATTCGTTCGGGGCTGAAGAGTGTTCTCGCTGCGCGCAACGTGCAGGCCCGCAACCCTGAACCACATGTGAGCTGCAGAAAACAGCTTGAAGTCTCCGAAGGTACAGATGCAGATGGAGAGCTATGGGAGTTTCCCAAGAGTAGCGTTTGGGGTTCAGGGTGTATCGATTTTGGGGTCCTTGATAAAAAGCATTCTACTCTATGTGGGGTACTTGCCTTTGGGAAATAATCATACAAAATGACAGAGGATCCCACATGATCACAATCAGACTGTCATCCCCCATGTACCGACTTTGTGAGGAACAGAGGCCGGGGCAGCGCAGAATGGCAGGACGTGCCGGGCTTACTTGGTATGGAAGATTATAAGAATACAGCACATATGAAGCAACATCTCGGGTTGAGGGTTTTGGGGCAGGCTGGCTGGTTACCTGCACCTTGGAGATGTATGGTGGCGGCTTGCGCGGACGTTGCAGAGATGCGCAGATGCTTTAGTGCAGGATGTCCGTGATACAGCTCTTGCTCTCCGGTTCATCCACTGCCGCAGCCCTCGACAGTCGCAGTTGTCCAAGACTCGCTGGGAGCACCTTCCCATCACCGCAGAAAGCTGGGGTTTCGGATTCGCACTTGAGGGCTTTCGAAGGTTCAAGGGTAGCTGTCAGAAGCATAGCTAACCCTGCACGGGCTTCCTAGCACGCTCGGTGCAGCTGAGAGGCTGCCTGCGAAAAAGGGCAGAGTAGTGTTGGCCCCTGCCCCCGGCACTGACAGGTGGATCCCTGCTTTCTGTCGATGGCTGTTGCCCAGTGGCCCAGTGGGTCCGACATCCCCTGTAGATGCCATGCCCGGGCTCAATTACAACATCACGGCCGAGGAAGGCACCCAAACAGTGGTTGTCTTCTTGCAGCAAACCTCACTTACAAAGTGGGAGTTACCGCTATCTTGGCACTGGCCGTCGGCCAGTCCATCGAAATGTCGTCGGGCATTTAGCGACCGATTGCTCCGACCTTTGACAGCAGAGAGACCGCACGAACCTGTGGTTGCCAGCATTGCGGCAATGGCTGTCCCCCTTGAAATTCCAGATCATCAACTGAGGACAGTCCGGAGCCTCCTGATGAAAGAATACGAGGAACAGAACGCGCACTTTATAGCCGTGCGCAGAATTCGACTCTGCCGCCTCGTCTTGAAGCATAGGAGCAACCAAGGAATTGGCGCTTGCCTGGGTTTCGCTCGTTGCCGCCTGTTGGGATTGCGTGGGGCAGGGTTTCCTGAGAGACGGTGCAAAAACTCTCGAGCTCCTTGCACGTTGCGCTCCCGCCCCGAATTTCTTCACTGCCCAGCACAGAATGCGCGCGCGGCTGGGGAAATGTAGCTTCCTCATCCGCGTCCGCCATCCTCTTGCGCCAAGGTCGGCCGTGGGCCAAGCCGAAAGACTGCTCAAGTAAGGACGGAATCAGAACCATGAATCCAAACACCCCCCCCCCCCCCCCGAAAAAAAAACTCGAAACGAACCTCCTGCTGTTTGCTCCAGGACTGCCTACTCCTCTAGTTCAGTCGGGTATAGTCATGGCTCTAGGGCCTTGGGATGTAGGGTTTCGGGTTTAGGGCTTTAGGGTTTTGGGCAACTCCGTAGCACAGGCGAAGCCGGCACAGATGTTGGGCTCGCACATGATATAAAGTGTTTTCGGGTGTAGGATGGAGCTTATGAATTTGAGGCATGTGAACACGGTGGCTTCTACGGACTAGATGGGTCCTGGGGTCCACAAAGGATTTTTTGTAGCAGAGCGCGTGCATGGGAGTCTGCTCTATACATACTTTCCCAAAAGTGGCCATGACGGGGCGCATCTTATTTGTCCTACTTTGGGACATCCGACATGTGTGCCCAGGGTTCCCTCCTTGCACCACAGCTTCAAAACATCGCGCATCTGGGTTGCGGGAAAACACCACTCAGCGGACTGCTAGGACGACGTGGAAGGCCTGGCCAGCAGCTTGGTCATGCTCGTCCCATTGGCCTCCGTAGGCTGATGGCGGAAGTGGGGGGCCAAGCATTCACGCTTGATCTTTGGCACGTCCAGGTAGAAGTCGGCGTTGTACATGAACCTTCTTCTTTCTGAATATCTCTGTGGGGGACCGAAACCCTAAATCCTCAAACCTTCAACCGTCCTGAACCTGAAACCCAAAGCTGCGCACTCTGCAAAAGCCAAGGAGCGGCGTGTCGAGGAGTGCCTGGGCCCCCTTGGCCGTGATGGCATAGGCCGTGGAGCCGTACCCATGGGGGCAGTGTCGTTCGCCGAGAAAAACCAGTTCGACATCCGGAGCAATCCTGTAGGCTCTGGAGCTCAGGGGTGTAGCATTTGGGGGTTTAGGGTGTAGGGGTTTAGGGGCTTAGAGTTTGGGGTTTAGGCTTGGGGTCTGGAATTCGTCTATTTTTGTTAAAGGTCCTTTTTCCATCTTGCTGATCCAGGCTGGAACGCGATCTTGCGCAGGAGTTCCAACAAGTACTCTGGGAGTTAGGCTTTAGGGAGGGTCTGGAAGTCAAGCACATCAAACAAAACCAGTGGGTTCGTTCGACTTCTTTGAACCTTCTCTTTTTGAGGACCTTGAAGCCAAGAAAAGGACAGGAAAATGAACTCGGGGACTGCCCCCACAATGAGGGGTCTCCTGACTCAGCTACAAAGATCACCCGCAAGAAAGGAAACCCTAAACCCCAAACTCTGAAGCCCGAACCCATAAGGGTAGGGATCTATTGGGTTTACAGCCCTAGGGTAACATAGGGTTCTGTATGGTAATATAGGGTTATATAGTTACAGAGGGATAGTGGAAAAGAAACAGGAAACTAATATTCAGCCCCCTAGAAGGTCCTAGAACCCCAATATACACCCCATAACACTACAGCAGTTTCCGTTTCATTTTTCATGTTCTTTTCCAACTTGATTCTCCATTCTGAGGGGCACCATTAATATTTTAGGTGCCTGTGGAAAGCCCCCCCAATCATAGACCGGGATGCCCTGACAGGTCTCGGAGCAGCTCGTCGGAGGTCGTTTCTGGCTGGGCATCATCCTGTTCAAATGCGAGCGCCGAAGCCCTAAATCCAGGCAGTCGAAGCCCCAAACAATAATTTCTGCTAACCGAAGCCATAACCATCACCTGTATGGGTTGAAGCTGTCTTTCTTGACTGTCGTCGCCTTCCACTATAGGTCTATCCTGTTCAGGGCTCGCGAAGGAGAAATCAACACGAAGCCCAAAATGAGGCTCTTTCCGGCGTAAATAGCACGAAGGCTTCCAGAACCCTTCCAGAACTCCAACTTAACCCCAAACCCTATAAACCCTAAGCCCTAAACTAATAGAACGAATAGTAAAACTACCTCTTGTCGTAAGAACACTAGTAACAGTGGTAAGAATAGTAACAATAGTAGTAATAGAAGTAAGAATACCTCCAATAGTAAGAATACCTCGAATAGTAGTACTAACAGTATCAATAATAAGAATAGTAATAGTAATACCCCAATAGTAATACCCCAAACCCAACCAGTCCTCGAGGATGACCAGCCACTCACGGCCACTCAAGGAAGCAGCGGCTGTTTGCCATGCCTTGTGCATCGTGCTTCCCTACTAAGGGTTAACCCTTTAGGCACCCTAAACCCTAAACCCCCTACTAAGGGCAACCCTTTAGGAACCTAAGAAAGTCCCAAGCTAAGTCCCAAGGAGCCTTGTAGTGGGCCAGGGCACATGCCAGGGTGCCCAGGGGCGGCGTGCCAGCCTTACCTGGATTGCTGCTGGGGAACTTAAAGCTTCCTTCATGAGGAAGCCAGGTCTTTGCGATACAGATTTTTAGAAACATCTCTCTCTCTCTCTCTCTCTCTCTCTCTTGGTAACTTGATTCAGAAGGTCCTCAGCATTATCAAGCCAGTTACGGTCTGCCTCCCTGTTTGGATTGCTGCGCCACTGAGCCTTCATCTGCTCTGTCATGGGAACCAGTTCCTCCCTGTCCATCATGTCCTGCTCGTTTGCAAAGTGCGCAGCTGTCAACCCGACCATCCAACTGACCCGGATGTCAGGGAAGACCTCCTCGTAGTGGTAGGCTCGCGTGCGCTCGGCGTAGGTCAGCACCATGATCTGGTTGATCGTGCGACCTTGTCAGCCCACCCTCGCCGTTTCTTTGGGGCATCTCAAGGAAAACTGGGCCTTTCTTTGGGATGGCAGACGATTGATGAAACACAAAATGCTTCTTTTGGCCCGGCGGCCTCCCCAGAGGCCTCTCCAGAGGCCTCCCCAGAGGCCTTTCCAGAGGCCTCCCCAGCGGCCTCCCCAGAGGCCTCCCCTGCGGCCTGCTATGCCAGTCTGGGAGAACGTCTGAAGCAACGTGGGAGAGTTGTAGGCCGGGATGGCGACTCCCTGCCTGCGAAGGCTGGCCTGCGCCCGCCGGAACTCCTGCTCGCTGTTGCCGACCAGACCCCAAGAGGGGTCGTGCACTTCCATGAAGAGCTTGTCAACAAGACGCACCTGAGGAGAGTTAGCGAGGCAAGGGATGATATCAAACTCCGCTCCCTCGATGTCCATCTTGACAATCACGAGGTCCTTGGGCACGCGGGAGCGTTGTTCGGCTCCGGGCTTGAGAGCGTTTTGGGTTCGACCCGGTCATTCCTACATGCAGACAAGCTGGCCTTAGCGGTGGTCTGTTCATGGAGGATCCGGAGAAGGTTCCTGAGCAGGAAAAGGACCTCTCCCATATCACCCGCAACCCCTACTAAACCAATCTTCGCTAAACCTGCCCTGGTGGGTCCAAAACACTTCTAGGGTTTAGGGTTTAGGGTTTAGGGTTTAGGGTTTAGGGTTTCGGGTTTAGGGTTTAGGGTTTAGGGTTTAGGGTTAACCTTCAGCGACCTGAATAGAACTGACAGTTTTGAGGGTTCCGAGATTGCCGGGGAACCCTGAAATTCACAATCCTAAGCTCCCAACACTTCTCCCAGATCCCTGTCCTTTAAACCCAACCGCCCACTGCAACCCTGAAGCCCTGAACCCCGAAACTCCCCCAACCTGCTTTTGGGCACCAGGGGTGCCTTGTGGGAACCGTGACCTTCACTTTGCCACTCTTCACCACGTCCTGATGCGAAGGGGAAAGGCTGGATCCCCAGTAGTTGTGCTCGGTGTTCACATTGTCCAGATAGAAGCCTCAGGTGTTAGGGTTTACGGTTTAGGGTTTAGGGCTTAGGGCTTAGGGTTTAGGGTTTAGGGCTTAGGGCTGAGGGCTTAGGGTTTAGGGTTTAGGGTGTGGATTGGTTGATGTATTGCGGGCTTCGGGGTTTGAGCTTAGGGTTTTGCAAGGATGCTGGAGACAGCCGGTCATTCAAACGATCCCAGCACCAGTCTACGCTTGGAACACGCTCCGCAGCGCACTTAACAAGGTGAACTCCAACCCCCGAGCAAATCCACGGTAAAAAGCCCAGCAGTTTCCAGCCAACCCCAAGCCCTATAACCCTTTTCGTAAACCCTGAACCCCACACCCAACCGCCATGACGCGCCGGGTCGCTTGTTTGCGCATCGCACATGTAGGCTGCTGAGGAGGGCATGGCTTTGACCTGGTTCGGGTGCTGGGCCTCAACCTGGTGCAAGGCCGAGTCGAAACCTGCGTGACATGGGGTCTTGGGCTTGGCGGTTAGGGTTTAGGGTTTAGGGTTTAGGGTTTAGGGTTTAGGGTTTAGGGTTTAGGGTTTAGGGTTTAGGGTTTAGGGTTTAGGGTTTAGGGTTTAGGGTTTAGGGTTTAGGGTTTTAGGGTTTAAGGTTTAGGGTTTCGGGTTTAGGGTTTAGGGTTTAGGGTTTAGGGTTTAGGGTTTAGGGTCTTGGGCTTAGGGTTCGGTTTGGGGATGGGGATGGTTGAAATTCTCGGGTCCAGTTGAGCCGGTCACCGGTAGGAGGCCATGCTGCAATCAAGTCACGGGGATTCGCCTCCACCAACAGAGCCTCCCACTTTCCTCCATTTGGGCAGGAGGCCAAAGGAGTGTAGTCGCCCTGCCTCGATAGGAGTGAACATGTTTGAGGCCAAGGGAACAACTGGGTGGTAGGGCGCAAGGTGCTTAATTCGGCCCTGCAGAAAGGCCATCTGCAAGCTTCAGACCAGCTGCAGGAACCGTTCGAAGCTGTTTCCATTGGCTGCGCCCAGATCAATGAACACGCATCTCGCGTCTCGATCGGACTTCGGCGCCACCCAGGATGCATCGCTGCTGTGGCACTGACAGGGTGGCGCCTTCTGGATCTCGCTGGCGAGATCGTGCACCGAAGGCAAAACCAAGCAGGCGGGCAGTTGACGGCCCAGGGTTCAGCAGTTATTGGTAGGTAGGATTCGTACTCCCGTGTGACTCCTGACTTCGCTCCCTTCTGTACCCCAAAACCCTACGTCTTCGAATCTTGCTCAGGTTTCTAGCTGACCCTCCATAAAAGGCTCTGCTGAAACCAACCCACGATGCCTTCAGTGCGGCCGCAGTCAAGTCCTGGCAGAGGGCTGAAAGCAACAGCGCCGCCGTCTTCAAAGCGCCCATCATCCGGCCCGTTTTGCGGGCTTATGGGCGCTGGCTACATTGGTCCATGTCGGAGCTTGAGCCCGAGGGTCCAATCGCAGGAGGCAGTGGGCCAAGAAGTTTCAGGCAAATCCGCGCTCTCCCACGGTGGATTGCATGAACCTAAGCACGCTAGACCGAGTAAATGAATGTAAATTATAGCATGCAGGATCTTATACATCGTATCGCCTTGTTGGGGAAACTAATCCCTTCTTGCAGCTGCATGTATCAAAGTTTTGGTCTCCTTCTCTTCTTTTTTTCTGCAAGACCGCCTGCATGGGTGCCGGAGACTTTTTTGGAAGATTCTTTGTTCACTTGAATGTGAAGAAATATTTAAAGAGAAGCATTCAGGATTCTTAGAGTGTTTTGGGTGTCCAGTTCTTCCTTCCTCTGTAGCAAAACCCGCCTTGAAAGGCCCACACCGGAGATCTCTTTTGGACACCTTGAAAAAGCGCTTCTTTGTCCACTCTCACCTTTCGTTCATTTTTTTCATCTTTTTTCATTTTAAACATAAGATATTTTGAATCATATTTAAAGAGGAGCATCCAAGAGATTGTTAGATTCTCGAGCAGGACAAAAGTTGCTCCACGCAAGGAGGAGAGCTGAATAATCTTTCCCTCTTGTCTGTGAGAAGAGGAGAGTGGTCCTTCACTCTTCTAAACTTCTGCAGCGGAGAGGGAGCGGTGCTTTCACTTCTATTTTCTCTTGCGCCGAGATTCCATTGTTTTGGAAAGGGCGAAGATTTTTTCTTTTATCGGAAGCTTATCCTAATTGCATAACTGCCGGAACGCGAGCACCTTTTCTTTGGGAGATGACGGTGGGGATCAGTTCAGGCTGCCGTTGCAGCTTGATGCACTGGGAGCCAGAACTTCTCCGGCGTGAGGTAACGTACCCCCCCAGAGATCAAACACTACACCAGGATAGACGCTTCTTTGAAGCGAAACAGCACATACGTGAACTTTCGCGTGGGCTAGTACGACTAGCACCAAAGGGAGTGGAGGGTGGGACAGAAAAAAACCAGGAAGCTACGCTTCGAGCTTCAAGCGACTGCATGGGCTGACGTTTCCCCCGTCTCCCGACTTAACAACTTGTTAGGCAAACGTTGCCCGCATTCGTTTAAGCTAACGATAAAGCACAATCACGCACGCGTGAAGGAAGCTTATCGGAAGCTTATCCTAATTGCATAACTGCCGGAACGCGAGCACCTTTTCTTTGGGAGATGACGGTGGGGATCAGTTCAGGCTGCCGTTGCAGCTTGATGCACTGGGAGCCAGAACTTCTCCGGCGTGAGGTAACGTACCCCATCTTATAAAGCCTCGAACGCCAAGGAAACCCCACCTTAGACAGCTCCTGAGAGGCCCAACGCACTGCGTATCGCCCCGCACGGCAGGGGGATCCTACGACCCCCAAGACGGAGGATCGCGTCGAAAACCCCGCGACTTGGCCCGTCTGCGATGTTGCTAGAGGTGGGCACCCTCAAGAAGCAAGCGTTGATGCTGAGACGCTCCTCCGCTCCCACAGCCTGAAACACTATCGCTGCGCCCTCTTCTTTCCGTGTGAAACTGCGGGCTAGGGACGCTCTAGCGGCATCGTTATCGATGAAAACGAGAAGGTCACTGTTCCGGAGGAAACGTCCCCACAGCTGCAGCGATATGAAGTAGGGCAACAACTCGCACTCGAAAACTAGCTGCTTTTTGCCGACGCGGCCTGCCCATTCTTGCGCCGCGGCGGCGTCCAGGGTGTCTCCCCAGGCTAAAGGCACGCCATCCAGCCAGAGGACACCCCCAAAGCCACACGTGGGAACTGAGTTTGACACATCCCACTCGCATGCCCCGTCCAGCCAAAGGTGGAACGTTCTGGATGGTTGAATAGAGAACGACCGGGGGCGCCCATCCAGGACGCGTTGCTCAATGAAGTCCAAAGCTGCTTGCTGGACGTCAGTCAAAGGATGCGAGGCTTCGGAGGCCGGGGAAACGTCCCCGACAGCCACCACGGCCTGTTTGGCGTTACGGCCCCAGACGTGTTGTTCCGCGAACACCAGACGCCCACGCAGACGCTGCGCTTCTTCAAACGTAAGTGAACCCTTTTGTTTAATCGCCGCTACTGTGTCCTTAAGCTCAGCGACGCGCTGCGGCGTGTTGCTGACCTGTACCACACCCACGGACTGCTGGGACAGGTCCACTCGGACGCCGAGAACATCGAAAACCTCGGAGAAGGGGCGATTCTTCTTCTCCTCCGTGGCTACGCGCCAGCCCAGTTTCTTGAACATTGAGGAGACAACGACCTCAACGTGGGCCGCGTTTGCTGCAGACGTCAGCACCGTGAAGTCGTCGAAAAAAGAGGTCATAGCTATGAAAAACTTTTTCCTTGCTATGGCTTTTAACGCTTCGCTGCACCGCAGGAAGGCATGCACGGCTGCAACTGCCCCAAAGGGCAGGCTGTGCAAGCGGCAGTATTGGACAACGTCTGCCTCAGGGTCCATGACGCAAATGATGGCGAAGTGCTTGTGGTCGGCTCGCACGGCGAGCTGCTTATAAGCGCTCTTGAGATCCCAGGTACGACCGAGGATGCGCTCAGGGGGGCTCCCCGGCAGACGAAAACGAAGCCAGGAGAGACAGGCCTCGACTATCTCGTCGATCCCGTCCATCTGAACCTTCTCCTGCACACCACAGGCTGAGTTGACCAGGCTGGCTTTAAAGTTGTCGATAGGCCTCACTTTATTTTTCTGGAAGACTCCAAACCTGGGAGAAACTACCGCCAGAGCGGAAAGGTCTTCGCGGCTGCAGAAAGACAGCCACCCACTGGCCTGTTCTTCTCGGGTCACGGCCCAGACAGCACGCTCAGTCGCTCGGTCACGGTACCGGCAGAGGCCTTTGACGCACCGTTGAGAAATTTCTTCGGACATTCGTTGGAGACCGGAGGCCGTAAGTTCGGGGGGCCGAACGTCGGCATCCCACAAACCCGAAACGGGGAGCCAATTCACGAGTGGAAAGCCTACCCTAACCGACTCCGCAACGTCCGGGTCGACGTAACCCACTTCGCGCAACAAGAGTTCCAGAGCTACAGACATCTTACTGGAAGTGACGTGGTTGACTTCGGGGTCGAGACCTTCACGGAGGGCCGTCTCCCGGCTCACGGAACCCTTGCAAACTCGAAGGAGGTCACGGGACGCCTCCGTACGCGACTTCGCAAGCTTAATGGTGTTCTTGGCGGCATCGGCCGCGAGAGCTACGAGCATCTCGGGAGGGAGGACACAGCGCGCCCTACGCGGGCTGGGTAGCTCTAAGGCCTGCCTACACAGGCTTCCGGCAAGCAAGGGATGGCAACCGACGCGGTTGCACCCTCGCGGTCGATCTCCAGAAGCTTCGACCCTTTCGGCCAGTGGTCCCAGTTGCAGGGCGGGAAAACGTGCGGCATCGTCGCCCTTTAGGGTGACCTTGACAGCGAAGTTCGGCTCGCACAGCGCCTTGAATGCACGTTTCCGCCCCACGGGGGCTTTTTCCAGAACGTCCTTCACAGCCGCCCCTGCGCAGAATGCCCACGCTTTGGCGAGCTGGGGCGTGTAAGCACTCTCAAGAGAGGTCGACCAAACACGCTTCCCTTCATGTGTGACCTAACCCCATGACTCATGGGCATGGTCTCCAGAGCACAGCACGGTCCGACGAAACCAAGAGCGGTTCGACACCAACGTGGTGCTCTTCCGCCGGGTACTTCCAAACATGCACGCATGCAGCGTGACAACGTGAGAGTTGGCCACAAGCCCACTCAAACCAGGGAAAAGCCAAATCAAGCTATTGGTGGGATTTTCAATACTCCAGCAGACCCCTTTTTCGGACAAATGTCTGCACCAGAAGGACATCAGCTTACGAGGCTGTTCGCGGCCCGAACGCGTGCCCTGTCACGAAAATCCTTAAGGGATGGCAGCCCCCTTACGAAATTTCGATCCCTCAGCGGCTTTGGTCCTCCCCGGATGGCAAATTTCCCTGGCGCGACTGAACGTTCCGCACGGCGGGGCCCAGTGAACCCACACTAGGCCTGGCCGGTCCAGGACATCTTTGAGAAGGGAACGCCCTTCTTTCCTGGAGAGGTCCAATTGCAGGACCTTAACACCTTGAGCCTTGCAAACTTTGTCAATGCTCACCGTGTGGAAGCCTAAATCCTTTGCGGCTTTACTCAAACGTCCCAAGCCGCAGAAGACTTCCACAAACAAAGGGACGCCCCTATCGCTTTGGCCGGGCTGGCAGTCCACAGGCGAGAACGCTGACCCTCCAATTGGAGGTTGAACGTTCTCACAACGGGCACGGCCCGTAACAGCATCGCACCGCGGCCCGCCCTTTCCAGGGGGGGAAAGAGGGGTGGAAGCGGGCGACTCACCCGGGCCTGACGAGGCCTTGCTCATTTCGACTACCGGCTGGGATAGTCACTCACGCTTCTTGTTTGCCGGGCAGTTCTCTGCTCCGTGCTCCTTGGACCCACAGGACATGCAAACGTGCAGTCCGCGGTCACACTCAGAAGGATTCCCGGACGCCGGGAGGTTACAGCCCTTCTCCAGGTTAAACCCATAGCAGTAACGTCTGCCGTGATCGTTATGCGGCTGGAAGGGGTGCAGTTCTTTAGGCATCGGCGGCTTCTTTTCGGTCGGGAGGGTAGGAGCGGAAGGCT